TCACTAGAATACTGAGTCATAGTGTTTTTTTCCTTTCATATATGTATAGACTTGCAATTAAATTTGCATACATAAGACTGTATTAATGAATAAATAAAAACTCAATGGCAAGACTTCGCTAGGAAAAAAAAAATACTTTGAAAATTTATTTTTTTTTTATTTTTTTTTTATTTTTTTTTTTAAACCTATAATCAAGCCAGTATTGTATATTTATTAATCAATATGAAAACTGATAGAGATACATAGGACAATTGCTTCATGGCTAAACTAAAAACTCATATTAACATACTTATCAATGGCTTTCAATTTTTAAAAGAGCTTCAGCCTCTAAGTACAATCTTGAGAACAATATTTCACTCTAAACTAAGTTTGGATGAATATTCTTCTAACTTATTCATCATTGCTAGTAGGTTGTTACTACTTGTTATCCTTCAAGAAACTGAATCCAAGAAACTATAGAAGTGGAAAGGAAAAATAAAAGGAAAGGGGAATATTTAAAAATATGCAAATGTATTACATGAAAATGAAAAGAAGAAAAAAATTAAAATACTCTATGTCTTTCAAAAAACCTTTACTAAAAACCTCTTCTCATTAGAAGTTAACCTTTCTGAAATATTCTTCTTTTTTCTAACTATCTGAGAAACTTATCCATTCATGTTCTTGATTATTTTCTTGTGACTGTTTAAGATACTTATTGCTTACTTGGATTTATTGTCTTGCTCAATACTTTCTTTCTTTTAGTCTTGATTTTGTATTTACCTATGCAAAAGAAGATAACTAACAATGAACTCAGGTTTTTATGTAACTTTTCAATTTTATTGAATAACTTCTGATATATTTTAGCAGCCACACCTAGTTAAAGAAATTTTACTGGTATTTATCTTGATTGTGATATCATTATATAATATCTGAGGAAATACATTCTCAATTTTAGAGAAGAATGGTATTTTACATTTCTTTACTTTTTAGTTTTATAATATAACTGATGTAGTAGGCTAATTCGACGAGTCTGTCGCTAATGACTAAAAGCTCATATAACCTGTGAATAGAAGAGTCCGTCCTTCTATTATATACAAAACAATACCAAAATCAAGGTAGAGGCATAAAAAGATTTGGATAAGTCTCAAGGTAGTTTTCCCTAAAACTATTTATAACCTCACTGTTATAACAATCTATTCAAAAGATTTGTCTTAAGATTCGTCATTTTATTAAGTCATTGAAGAAAGTTACATTTATACATTTTTACATATAGGGCTATTACATAATTACTATAGCTATTCTAGTATTATGTCATGCATAAATTGCTTTTTGGTTAGCTAATTTTCTATTACTTCAGCTCATAGTTTTTTACCTTTTTGATGCGAATGGATTGTTCGCGCATTCTTCTAGCTTGCAAAGGGTATAATGATAGTCGACAATGATTGTTTTGTATAAACTTCGATCATATCACGATTGTAAGTCACGTGACTATGGCAAAAATTCTGAACTTTGCTTTGACTTCTTTGGCTTTAACACTGGGATAAGAAAATAATCCCCCTTACATATTTTGCCTAATTGAGATAATAAGAAGTTGAAGGCCTCAACTTGAATAAATAATCACATTTTCACTACTTAGGGAATTTAGTGTTTATCCTTATGGCCTCATAATTTTTTTGTTTCAATTAAACTTCATTTGGAGAAGTAAAGGAGTTTGTATCTTTAATTTCTCTTTCAATTATCAATAATATCATCAGAACACATGAGGTGACTAATAGAAGTTTGTTTATATTTAACTACTAACATATTTTGTGTTAACCAATCAGATACTAGGTGATATTATACTATTAGATATTTAGTGTTAGGTAAAATCTTTCAAGAAAATCATGAAAACAGTAAGTACTTTAAGAAAATATAAGACAGTATATGAAAAAGTAGAAAATAAGCCTTCCCATGTTAACAGAATCTCTATTTCTTGTCATTTCCAGCTCTGTAAGGAGACACTTTACTTGTTAGTCCTTTTATTTCCTAGAACTTTCTTGCCTTTAGTAGAGGCAGTATGTACTTAAGTCTTTTTAGGCTACTAGAAGCTCAAGTTTTTCTTCAAAGGAGTTTATAAACAAGTAGAGGAGGATAAAAGAGATAAATAAAGACAAGCTTCAAGTTGTTTTAATGAAAGTGTAAAGATTTTATTAATAAAAAAATATAAACTTTCTTGCAAACATCTTTTTTGTGTGTGGTTAGAAGATTAGTGGAAAGAGTTTATTTTGAAATTTATTTTCATCTATATATTAAATATTATAACTTTTTATATTAGTTTATAAAAATTGAATATTTTATTATACTAAATACTATATTATTCAAAAGAATAGTATAGTTTTGATCTAATATTGAATTGTTTAACTTTTCTATAGATTATTTAAATATATTGATTAAGTTTATAAAGTTAATGCTTTTTAAAGTTAATGTATATATTATATAATGAAATAATAAATTAATTAATTAAATAAAAAACTTATTTTTAATAAAATTGATATAAAAATTAAATAATAAAAAATTTTATAATAACTTAGTAAAACTATTTTTAAAAACTCAAATAGTAATTATGAAGTATATTTATGAGACTTAATATAAAAAGACTAAAAAATAATTATATATTGAATATTCTTTTTTAAAGGTTTATAAAGAAAATAATAAAAAATGAATTTTTTACCTTAGATAAATTAATTATAAACATATCAAACTTACATAAGCAATTATAATATTATAGATAGTATATAAATAAGAAGAAAATCAATTGATTATTTAATGAAGAATTAAATAGAAAAAAGTATAAATAATAACAAATGGCAAAAAAGAAATAGAAAAATTAAACAAGCGATTATTCAAGTTAATAATTAGATATTTATAACTAGTCAAGACAAACTGAGATTTTAATATCATCATCTTTTTAATAATATTAATATTTATTATTTTTGATTTCTCTAAATGTTATAGATTAACCCCCCAAATTACACAAGTTGAAGTTGAATGAAGATTCATATATCCTGAATGTTAAAACATGTTTTATTTATTGTTATGATCGTCGCGCAATTTGAAATAGAATGAAGATTTATATGTCCTGAATGTATTATCGTGTGCTATGCATTGATGTGATATGTAAACAACAAACAAACTGGTCGATCTCGCTTACAAAACTCCTAATATGGTATGATCAAACGTGGAATTAACCTTCGCGTTGAAGAATCGTTTTGCGGCTCTAAAATAAAATAAAGAATATTAAAGACTCATGTATTAGCATGCAAGAGGTCTTGGTCGGTTAACCCTAAATTAGTATATCAGTTAATTATTATATTTTGTGTAATTCATTTACAATGTTAAATTTAATCAATTAACATTGTCTCCTGCATTAACATTGCCTTGCTTCGGTTCTGTACGAATTCAGATGATTGGCTTATTCACCGAATTTGTGCAAAATTAAAAACAGGAAGCTAACGCTAGGATTTCTGTTACAATCTCCAAAGTCTATTGGGCGCTGTTAGCTCCATTGCCGTACTCATCTCATTGGTGCCGCATCTCAATCCTAGAAAGTTAAATTCCTCAAAGTGCATTAACCTTAAGAGATGTGCAGGTACGAATAAAATTATTAGAGAATTTTAAAAAATTGACTTCATGGCACTTATACACATATTAACAATTGAATACTTATAAAAAGCTTAAACGCATTGATACTAGTTCTCGAACATCGCATTACAGAATTGGGTTTCTTATGTGAAAAACAAATTAATAAAATGAGCTGACATAGCGCATGGGGCTAATTGCTGGAAGCACAACAACACAACAGATTCAAGTTTAAATTGGTAGATCGTGTAAACTGATATGTTTTCATAATAAAAACTATCGAAAATTTTATCACAGTCGGTAATGAAAATTTATTTGCTGCCACAAACAAACATGAGGTCGTTAACCAATGTTTTTAATCTGCGCGGAATAATAATACAAACTATTTGTAGAAAGTGACCAATCATTTCGGGAATAAGCACATACAATGCGGTACATACAAACATTGTCATTCTGGGACAATTACAAGGGTATACAAACCTGTGACTCCGACCATTTACGTACAGTATTTCCACTTTAAGTTGGACCAATCATGATTGGAACGATCTGAAAAATTAGAGTTTCCTACATGTATCCTTTGCAATCTATTTCGTAATAAATTTATATGCACGAAATGAAATTTATCGTAAATTTGCAATATATTATCTTAAGTTCGAATTTTGATGCTTTTAATATGTGTAATAAAATGAGGAATAAATATAGACAATCCGTGTCTCCCAAACGATTATATAAAGGGAATGTAAAGAAAAATAAGATTATTCATTCGTTACGAATTTACATTTGAAATTTCGTAATTAACGAATAACACAAATTTTATTCTTTCGCTACTCTAACGCCCACTAAGAAATTAAAATGGTTAAGAACATATTTGTTAACACGACTAAATGCTGCTTTTGCATAGGAATAAGAGCTGGGGCCGTAATCGCCTCTGCAATTTGGCTGGTGAGTTATCCATCTTTGAACAATGATTTACTTGGAATTTTTTTGATTTTTTTCCAATTAAACGTATTCGTAATGATTGCGTCTTTTCAATACAAAAGTTGGCTGGTCTATATGAAGCCGTCGTCTATTTAATGTATTACAACGCTAAAAGTGGTCTTAATAGTGAGTTTCTTTTAGTCTATTCGTGGAACAACGAATTATTATTGTTAACCGATATTACAAATATTATGTACAATCCTATTTTACTTTAGTTTATTCCTACGCTAGTTGGTTTACTTTATTAGCAGCTACTATATATGCTTTGATATCCGCGGGTGCCATATTTGGAATCTTCGTTATTTGCTGCGCTGTGAGTCTTATCTTTCCACTTACGTATTTTAAAAAAAATCACAATTAGAGAATTATACTAATTTCAAAACTATCGACAGAATACAGCGAAGATGTTGAAACTCTATTCGAATATGGCTTACGTTATTGCCGGAGCTTTCTTCTTCTTGGAAGTTATTTCTCTTGTCGTTTTCCTTAAATACAAGAATGATTTCTTATCTGGTTGTGCCAGTACTGTGATAAGTCAAACCTCCAGTAAAACTTTGGATCAAGCAAATAACGAATGCAATTCCATTTATGGCGTTTCCTTAATCTTTGAAATCATCGCTTTTGTATTCCTCATTGGTAACGCGGTATGTGGTAATTAATGTCATAATTTACGTTGGCAATTAAATATAATAATGACAATAAATTTCTCTCAACAGAGTTTCTTCCCCCTGGTGATAAAGGCTTGTGCTGAAAGGCAACAATCCTTCGAAGATTCAGTACCTGTGACCAAAGCTTAGATCAAACTTTGTTCTTTTAATGTAAAGAATATATGGAAATACTAAATAAGAATATAGCTATGTTAAAAGTAATTTCACTATTTTATTTAAAAGTCCTTGCATAATAAATTTATTTAATATAAATGTTACTTAATGACACGAGGATCGATTGACCTAAAACTTCGTGTATGTATTAAAACGAACGGATGTACTGCATTTTAGAATAGTATACTGTATATACAGTTATATATTCACAGTCATTCTAACAAATTAATAAAGTACCTGAAAATTACAAAATTTATCGAATCGTGACTATCTATGACAACTCTTATTAATTAAATTAAATTTTGTGCATTGTTTCCCATTAAAAAAGAGTCGATGGAGTGACTCGTCACACGAATAACGCGAGAATCGACTAAACATGAATATTTTCAAGAGAATTAGATCTCAGTCAGTCATTTACTAACTTCTAGTAGTTCATGCAACCCATAGTCTCTGAGATATAGGTTTGACAGCTATTAACTCCTAACAATATGTCCAATTTTCTAGTTTTATTTCAAAAAATTATGATAATTGTTTAATTTAAAAATTTTTAAATTAGCAAGTCTATTGCATAAAATAATTATACTGTAAATCATACGAGTCGTCTCTCGATAATCTGAAGGTAACATAACATAAAATATATATTGAATCGCATATGCTGTGAAGTTTAAAAACTTTATATAACGAATTGAGGATTTTTTATTTTAATCGCAAATAAGTATTAAATATGAGACTTTTAAGTTTATATCCATTACATCAGTGATATTAAAAAGTGTTGGAAATATAAAGTTAAAAAACTTATTTTGAGTAAGAATGTCATTATAAATATTTCGTTGGTATATAATTTTATAAATAAGGGTCTTTGTTTTTCTTCTTGTTTGTAAATTGCAGATTAAAAACAAATATATATTATAAGATTTTTTGATATATTTTTATTTTAACAATAATAAGTCTTTATATAAACTTGAATATAATTCAAATCTAGTTAGAGGCTGATAAATAAGACTTCATTTTAAATAAATTTACACCTTTAGTACTAAAGTTCAATTATTATTGCCCTAATATTTTTCATTAGCTCAAATATAGTTAAATTATTGTAACCGAGTAAAATATTTTAACTATTAAGAATGTAAAATATTAAAACTATTAAGAATATTTAATATTTAATATAAATTTAATTCTAATATTGGAGTAATGACTATTTTGATTTTATTTTGATTTTTTTTTTTAAATCCACAATCATATCACTTTGGCATATCTTTATTGAGATATTGAGAGATACCAAAATATTTTACAGACTTTTCACAAAGTGACTAACTCATCATTGTACATTATTAGTTAAAGAACTATACTACTTAAAAAATATAAGGAGTCCATTAAGCTAGTTCAGACTAAACAAAACTAAGTCTAAACTAAGTACTCTAAGTCTGATTTAGAGAACAATATTATGCTCTCCTAGTAGCTTGGCATAGTGCCTCTAAGTCAATCAGGGTCATTGTCAATAGTTTATAATTGTCGATTATCCTAAAAAACAATGAATTGCTAAAGTATGGCATTGGAAAAAGAGAAAAAAGAAAATACAATTTAAAATCCTCAAAGGATTCTTGTTCCATTTCATAGTTTTTTCTCAAAAGAGTTTGCCTAATTGAAATATTCTCTAAGCTTCATTATATTTGAGAAATTTAATTATTTCTAAAAGTGACTTCAAGAAGAATATTTGAGAAACCTATTCTTCTACTAATCTATGAATTCATTTATCACTACTGAAGCCAGTGCCATATTATAGAAGAGTTTGCTTGAACAGAATAAAGAAATCTTTTCAAGAACTTTACTTGATTAGAATAGAAGCTTGGAGATCTCAGCTTTTGTTCAAGAAAACTTTTTACCACTTGAGAAACTTAATGAGAAATGGGAGTCAAATTTATTTATCTACTTGTTGCTTAACTTTCGATATTATAATTGTTTCCTGGTGATCAAATATATGTAATTGAAGGTGACACTTTTTCTAAAACTTTCTTCCTACATCATCAATAATATAATGAGACATATTAGTGTAACTAATAGGAGCTTGTTTAAATTTAAAAAACTGATATATTTTATATCAACCAATCATCTTTGGTAAGAATTTGTACTATCCAAAATTCAAGTTCAAACTGAGGTAGGTAAAATTTCTCAGGAAACCATAAAAGTAGGAGTTTTAAGAAGATCAAATCAGTTGAAAAGAGAGAAAATAAGTCTTTTTACTATAGAAAACCTCTTATTTCAAAAATTAGATAGGTCTTTAAATACTTTAAAATCAGTTCTTCCTTTAAAAACTTTTTTGCTATTAATATCAAAGGTATTACTTGACTTTTCTTGATCACTAGAAGTCATATTTTTGAGTAAAAAGATTTGTAGACAATAAGAGAAGGGTAATAATAATTCTTGAAGTAATATTTCAAGTTGTTTTAAAGAAAGTATTAAGACTTTATTAGCAAAGAAGTATAAAAACTTCTTGTAAAAATCTTTTTTATATATAATATGAGAATCAGTAAAAAGAGTTTAATCATTATTTTTTTTTTTTTTTTTTTTTTAATGCTGGCGTAGTCATGCCATATAGCTTTTAATTTATTCATTAATATTCCCTTATGTGCACAAATTGAATTGCGAGAAAATACATTTATGAAGGTGAAAAACTATTGGCTCAGTAATACAAATTGTAATATAATACATAATATGTCATTTATATTATTATAATTTAATTAATTATAAAAACTCTTTCCACTGATTCTCTGACCACACAAAGAAAAGATGTTTGCAAGAAGTTTTTATACTTCCTTGCTAATAAAGTCTTAATACTTTCCTTGAAACAACTTGAAGTATAACTTCAAGAGTCACTTCTATCCTTCCCCTATTGTTTACAAACCTCTTTACTCAAAAACTTGTCTCCTAGTGACCAAGAAAAGTCAAGTAATACCTTTGATACCAATGGCAAGAAAGTTCACAAAGAAAGAAGAACTGACTGTGAAGTACCTGAAGGCCTATTTAACCTTTGAAGCAAGAGATATATAGAGGTTTTTAATGACAGAAGGGCTTATTTTTCCCCTTCCGGTCACTGTTGGGCCTCTTAGAGCTATCGCTTTCATAGTTTTCTGAGAAATTTTACCTACCTCAGTTTGACCCTGAATTTTTGATAACACAAATCCTCACCAAAAATGATTGGTTAACACGAAACACGTCAGTTTTTGGCATGTAAACAAGCTCCTATTGGTCATACTCACGTGTTTCGATACATCATTGGTGATGTAGAAAAGAAAGTTCTAGAAAAAGTGTCCCCTCCAATCGTGTATGTTCAACCTCCAGGAAACAA